TGTGCAATGTACAATGAACACTTATCGATAGTGATAAGATCCAATATCTAGCCATTTTACGTGAGGCACAAGGCATGTGCGAACTATTTCATGGCTGAGCATTACTTGTTAATAACACTTCAAGTAGGTACTAAAAAGACATGATTAAAATTAAAATTTTCAAACCATAAAAACTTTTCTACGTAAATGTGAAAATGTCATTTTATTGTGTCATTTTTTTTGTACTCAAACAACTTTGAAAAAATTCCATTAACCCAAATGATTCCAACAAAAATTCTTCCATTCATGACTCGATACTCGTCTAAACTCAATCAAACTAAAGCTATATCTTAACCCGGACCATTTCATAAACAAAAAGAATTCATCTGAAACATAAACGATGATTTTACTTGCACCAGTCAATTTCTTTCGACCCTCATTCACTTCGGCGAGCTCAATGATCCGAATGTTGAAAATAAATCCGCCGTTCAAACGATTCACTTTAATGTGTTTCACGTTTGGTGTGTGGCAAATGAATGCTGCTATATCTTTCAAGGTGGCTTCTTCGATGTAAATCCGCTGAACATTCGTAAGACTCTTGGCAAGACTTATCAAATTGGCGTTCTTTTCGACTTTTCCGATGCTGAACTCTTTGAGGTCGTGTAATGGAGGCAAGGTGAGACGATCAATTCGGGCATAGTTTAATTTTTCCAACGAACAAACCGAAGTTAGATCATCTGTTACGATGGTGCTGTACGATCCATACAGATGTAAGCGCTTGTAAAAGTGACGCTGATTAAGGTCATTCAATAATGAATTAACAAGCTGTCCGAAAGGTTTATTACAGAAAACATTCAGTTGATCCAATTTTGCGTTGATCTCCTTCAAGCAGTCACCGTTTCTTCGAAGGAATTGAATGGTCGTTGTAAAAGTTTGAACATTTGGATTCAACTCAAAAAACGTTTTAAGCTCAATAGTTGGTTGTCTGAATTCAAGGTAATCCTCTATCAATATGATGTGTTCAAGTATCGGATATCGTTGCAGTAGCCAACCATTGTCATTACCGATTATAGTGTGATCATGAATATTCGAAATGGATAAATACTTCAAATTCTTGCAGAATTTTAGAAATGTTGAATAGAATTCATCGCAGATTTGGTCCTTTCTAACCGTAACATTTTCCACTTGGCTGAGAATCCCTTTGATTTCCGTAAAATCTTCGAGATACTCACATCTATTTGAGAAATGAATCTCTTTAATGCAATTGCAGTCAATGTGTTGAAGTTTGGTCCAGTCAAAAATCTCAACGATTCCATGTCCAATTCGAAGTGCCGGATAATTCGTTTTGAGGCAGTAATCAACGATCGTTTTAAATCGCTTACATGTTTGACGAAGTGTCTTTAAATCAGTTAGTGATAACCATTCAAATACCTCTTCAAAACAGTCAACACTTAGGTTGAAAATACGCGCAAGTGATGAGTCATTCTCTATCATGCTTTTTTTACTGTAATTTTCAGCTTCGCTAAACACAGAGCTTACGTATTCAATACCAGTATTCTGTCTTATAGTCATTTCGCGTCCTACATTCTTTTTCAATTGAAGAAAACACTGGACTTTCAGCACAAAATGAACTGATTTACCCTATTTCAGTTCATTCATATGACATTTCCTAGAAATATAAGAAAAATAAGAGAAAATATCATATTTGCAAAATATTCTATTCTGATTTTCAATTTTAACTGCCGTATTATTTGCTTGAGTTGTACTCATCTGATTATTCAATTCAACGAAACTCAATTTTTCTCATCTCATCAATATTTTGTTGTAATCACACTGATTTCAAATATTTACTTTGATAATTCAGACTTGATAGCTGTCGCTTGTTCTTTTTGCTTTGACGTTTGTTTGACTATCTTCTACTCTGATCACTTTGAAATCATCGAATCAATTCTAATGTCTGAACGTCAGGAATGCATTTTAAAACTCGTTCACACGTACAAGGGATGATGATACACGTTTAAGAAATAGTGGTAATTATGCATTTGAATTGGGAGTTAAAATACTCAATTGATACTAATACAGAAATAACACGTTAACACGGTTTTTTTTTAAATAGACATTCACTATTCATTCGAATTAAAGTTAAATGAAACGTTCAAGTCGCGAGTCTCTTCATTTCATACTGATAGAATCCCAGACAAAATTCGATAGTTTTAAGGTTTTATTGTATGATTTAGCACCGTAATCGTCTGAAAACTATTGATATGGCATGTGCCATATATTCAGAACTACGTCTTATCTGGCAAAAAGTGATTCATGAGAATTATCCTAGGTCAAGATTTAGAGAATTAAAACACTAACGTTTGTCTTTAAAGTGTATATTTTTCAATCAAGTCAATACTTTTTGTTGATTTTGTTATCAATTTCATGTCTGATAAAATACATTCAGTTTACATGATATCAGAATATTACTTTTTTTGTTTACACTCGGGGCACGTGTTGTTAAGTGATATCATGATAATTTAACTCAAGAAAAAATGTCATTGAATATGTTTTAGTCTACATCCTATGGATACTGTTGGTTTTGAATGTTTGTTTGTTCGTTCGTTCGATACGATTTTTTTGTTTCGTTTGTTCGTTTGAAAAGTTTGGAAAAAATGGATCTCTACGACCGGACTCTATAAGCGCACTTTATCGCCTGCGAAGCCTTTGGCACCCAATCCAGTGACTTTGAATAAACATCCCGCGAACTCAGATGAGTCACCATCTGCGGCCGTTATTGCATATAGAATGTCCAAATTCGGTCCTCCAAACGATACTGCAGTCACTTGCTTTACCGGGAATGGAATATCCAAGAGAACTTTACCGCTTCTAATGAAAAATGAATTGAAATTATATTTACAGAAAAATTAGTAAAAATTGAATAGAAAACAATCAAATGTTGCAAATAATTGTGCTCATCAGAGAATATTATGGGATATTTTCATTCAGATGGGATAGAAATATCGCGTGAAAATATCTGATATTTTCTGGTGCGCATTTAAAGTAATTGAAAGATCGATGACTCACTTTGGATTAACTTTGGATATTTTCGATCCTCCGTAGAATGTTATGTACAGATTTCCATCTGTATCAATGGTCAAGCCGTCAGGAAGAAAACCGGGATGTGCGCCATTGTTGCTAAAATCAATGACCACTTTCTCGTTGGCTAAATGAAAACACAAATTAAAGTTCATTGAAACAATTTTGTGACTGTCAATATAGGCACTGTAACATGGAAGTGTCCCCCTTGAAGATCCGGGTTTTTAGATAGGGGATTCTTTGAGAGAGAATATAAAGGTGATTCTGAACATTTAGTTGAAATGTATGACAGGATCATGAAAATTAATTTGCTTCATGATCAGTCCTGATACCTCAAAGCAGCACTGAAGGCAATTATATTCTATTAAAATCGATATAGAGTATATCTCACTTTGAAATTGGACCAAAGACTTTCAATCGCTTACAGAAGTTTCCAGTGTTTGGATTGTAATCGTATTCTTTGACATCAAATTTGCCCGAGTCGATGTAGTAAAATTTGTTGTTGTTTTGGTCCCATGCCATTCCGTTCGATACGTAAATGTTGTCAAGAACCACTTGAGGACTATTATCGCCTTTGATATATTTGTACAATCTACCGGCTGCAATTTCTAAATTATCACCCTTCTTTTCTGATAGCATCGTTCCACCATAGAATCGCCCTACTCATCAGAATAATGTACAACGAATCAAGAATGAATATCAAAAGAATCATAACGAAAAGAATCAACCTGTTGGATCAGCTTTAGCAGCGTTGAAGCGATTGTTGCTCTTGTCACTGTCAACTTCAAATGCGATTGAGTCAAGGGTAGCCTTGGGTGACTTGCCGTCCCATTGTACGATTCCCACTCGTCGGTCCAAACCAACTGCGAACTCATTCGAGGAATTTGCCACCGGAATCACAAATGGTGTCACCAATTCTCCATCAATTCCCGCTGTATACACTTTATTTTCATTGAAGTCGTAACGCAAAATAGCCGAATCATTGCCATAAACATCGCAGTAATATAAACTCTGCTGATCCGCGTCCCAGTGTGTCCGAGTACCAACAAGGGTTTTTGGCGAAGGCACGACTTCAACGTTAAATGACATCTAATTCATCGAACAATAAAAAAAAAGTCATAAATAAGATTGAACACAGCAATTTAATTATGGTTATACTTGAATAAACCGAAATACATGCTAATAAACATCATCCAAGATTTATCGTGAAGAATCATTATCGAAGATTATCACGAAAATATGGTAAATTATCTTTTAAGAAGAGTTATCACAATTCTAATTAATTACTAGTGATTCCAAACACTTGCAAATCAACGATCGAATACTCATAACGACATCGAATGCACAAGCATCAATAATAAACGTAAAGCATATTTTTGGCCTATATGATTCCACTGGATTATGTATAAAACTGATAAACGGAACAGCTATTGCCGGCGAAATTAAATTTTTATTTTGAATATTCCTATGCCCATTGTAAGTGGTTCGGATTTAATTAAATCCAAAAATTTAATTTTCAACTTTGCGAAAACGGCCAAAAAATGAAAGCTAATAAGTCAAAGCATAAAATTTGGTCGAAAACAAGAAAAATTGATCTTATGAGTACACTCGATATGGGTTATGGGGCTTTGAAATCGTGATTTTCCCGAATTTTGTTAAATCCTAAAGATTTAACTTTCAAATGCGGGATTTAAGCATTTTTCACGCAAAACCATGTTGCAAATAAGTCAAAAATTGTTGGAAATGACCAAGAAATTCTAAATTAGTAAAAAACTCAACCACTTTGTACGTTTTTTGAGTCCAAATATGCAAAAATATCATTTTTCGTATATTCTCAACATTTAATTTTCAAATGCGTGATTTAAGAATTTTTACGTTAAACAGTGGGTCAAAAGAGGCAAAAGTTGTGGGAAATGGTCCGAAAAATCTAAATCAGTAATAAAAAGCAAGCACTTTTGACCATTTTTGGGTTCAAATAGGCAAGAATATCAGTTTACGGAAACCCTCAGTATTTCACTTTCACATTATGGTGAATTGTTTTGGGAAATCTCGTTTTTCGACAGTCTGCACATCCAAAACTTCTAGTCAGCTTCAAATCAAGCACCGAAAGCCATATCTGTGCCTTGTTTATGGGGATTTCAGGTCAGCACAAGATTTAGATAGGTAAATGAGTTTTTTATGAAACCATGAAAGTAAAATCCCAATAGAAATCCCATTTGTGACATTCCAAGCGTCATGAAACTTTCTGGATCTTATTTTTACCAAAAAACTCAATCCCTGAAATTTTGAAGCCAATCGAAAGCGATTAACGGGTACCTTCCATACAAATTAATTCCTTAAAACATTTGAAAGTTAAATCTTTAGGATTTAACAAAATTCGGGAAAATCACGATTTCAAAGCCCCATAACCCATATCGAGTGTACTCATAAGATCAATTTTTCTTGTTTTCGACCAAATTTTATGCTTTGACTTATTAGCTTTCATTTTTTGGCCGTTTTCGCAAAGTTGAAAATTAAATTTTTGGATTTAATTAAATCCGAACCACTTACAACGGGCATTATTTTTTCAAGTAAATTTCTCTATCTAAATACAGTGCGGAATGTACGTCTTATTCCATATTGACCATAAGTCGATTTTACTTGTATTTTGCATAGTTTTACGTGGTTTAACGAAAACGTTTCGTTTTTTCACGAATGAAATTGAATTCATTATCTTTATATGCATAGGGATCGCAATAGAAAACAAATCAAGTTTTACACCTCTGGCAAGTAATTCCATACCTCATTAGCTTCACCTTTAGTTGAATCATTCTCGTTCGTCGTTTTCAGAAGATAGTATCCAATCGAAACTAATACGACAGCACTAGAATTAAGACCCACATTTTTTTTCTTCAAAAAATTAGAACTGGATTTCTTCGTCTTTTATTTTTATGATTTTTCAACATATTCCACTTACCAAATAATGATGGCGATAAGAGATCGAACATTGCAAATCAATTGAGAGACTTTCATTTTGTGAATTTTCAGGCAAAAATGTTCAATCGCAAAAAATTTACTTATATTTACTAAGGTACGCTTATTGTGAGCGATGAATCTGAACTGCATTTGTCAGCAAAACATGGTTTGAATATACTTCCACAATGGAAGAATTTCCTTTTATCAAATGTAATTATTATTTGCACAATTATAATTATTATTTGTCATTGTGACAATGACTTAACAACGTGCCGATTATAATTCGTACGATCCGAAATTCGGTAACAGAATAGATAAAGATTCGTTACATTTATGAAATAACTTCAAATTGAACAGACCCAAGATAATTTCAAT